TCCTCCCCGTTTTGCTCAGCCTGGCAGCTTTGAATTTGAATATTCCCAAAGGTGGAAATCTTTAGATGAAATGGAAAAACAGCAGAGAGAGCAAGTGGCAAAAAACATGAAAGATGCCAAGGACAAACTTGAAAGTGAGATGGAAGATGCTTATCATGAGCATCAGGCAAACCTCTTGCGGCAAGGTAATTGGCTCTGAATTCTGTGTTGTATTTTTTGTTTTCATGCTAGTTTAAATTTATGGCTGTTTAATAAATAAATTACTTTCCCACTGCTAACTTGAGAATTTAGCCTTAAAGAGAAAATGGTAGTTTTTCAATTTTTTTTATGAAGTATTGTCAAGAGTAGTGGCACTCAGAAGGCAGCTGTCTGCTGTAGTGCAGCTGAGGTGGATGGAGCTCAAATCTGAGTTTAGATGTGACCCCAGTTTGACACAGCTGCTGACAAGCTTCGTTTCTGCAGACCTCATGAGGCGCCAGGAGGAGCTGCGGCGTATGGAAGAGCTCCATAACCAAGAAATGCAGAAACGCAAGGAAATTCAGCTGAGGTTGGTTTGGCTTTCCTGGGATTTTTTTTCAATGTTACAGTTGTTTTTTTGAAAATGACTTCTATATGAAAGCTTTTATTTTTCAAGAAACACCATTGCTGCCTCAGTTTGCATATGAGAAATTGAATGGCAGTGTGAGTTTTTCCTGGAGTATGTCAGCATCATAGAGTATCTTCTTATTGCTGGAGTGCAATCAGTCATTCAGTGTCTTTTGAATTGCTTGTGTAAGTGATGTTGAGTGTTGAGCTTGTTACACTGCTGAGGATTAACAGTCTGCTCTGGGGTGACCAGGCAGGAGGAGGAGCGTCGCAGGCGGGAAGAGGAGATGATGATACGTCAGCGGGAGATGGAAGAACAAATGAGAAGACAGAGGGAAGAGAATTATAGTAGAATGGGTTACATGGATCCAGTAAGTGAAAGTGATTTTTTTGTTGTTTTATACATTACTGTGTCCAGGATTTTGTTGGCATTTTTTCAAGTTTGATGCGTTTTGCTTCCTCTAGGTTAGGTAATGCGATGCCTTTGTAGGTGAGGTGAGAGTGGTTGGCTGTACATGGGTTTTATCACCTGAAGGGTGTGGATTTCATAGTAGATTATCTGTGCTAAAAGTTGTTTCTTCTATGCAGAGGGAGAGAGACATGAGAATGGGTGGTGCCACCACAATGAACATGGGAGGTAAAGAATATTTAATAATTACTTTATGTGGTTAACCTAGAAAGTGTCAGAATATGATTATATGTTTCTCTTTCTTAGATCCTTACGCTTCTGCAGCCCAGAAATTCCCACCTCTTGGAGGTGGTGGCGGCATAGGTTATGAAGCTAATCCAGGAGTTGGCCAAGCAGCCATGAGTGGTTCTATGATGGGAAGTGACATGGTAACGTATCCTGTGGTGGCTATAGTTTAGCACAAGGGAAATGTGGTGGTTGGCAATGGAGTTCTCTGCCAGTGTTCGGATGGTTGTGTAAATGTTACTGTTAACTACTGACTCTCTTGTCAGGTGTTTAACACGAAGACTAGTGTGGCAGTATGTAGTACTAGAGTAGTTCTTAACTGTTATGGTAGCTGACAGTTGGAAGTTTTTTGTAAGTGAATTCAAATGTGCTGTTAAGCATATTTGCAATTAACTGACTTTATTGGACTTTGGAAATTCTGCGTCACTGTTAGGCTTGGAAGGATTTTTTAATAAATTATAGAGAATTTGACAAATTACTAGATTATGTTTTATAATTAAGAAGCTTTTCAGCAAGTTGACTGATTGTCTTTATGGATGAGAGATTTTTGTTCCTTTCTCATGTGTAACATGGCATTTATTGTGGCCCTTCCAAGCCTAGTTAGGATTGATGCATGTTGGTATGGGTGTGCTGTTAATTTAGAAATCTGCGCTCAAGTCAATTTAAGCAGCAGATTAACTTAAGTAATCAATGGTAAACAGCATATCACTTATTCTGTGTGCTGATGTTTGCCATAGAAGAGCAGAAATGCTGGTTTTTAGCTTCAGGCATGTTCCAGTGGTCCAGGACTGCAGCCATTTTGTGGTTCCTACCTCTTGTTTTCCTGTCTTGGGCATGACTATATACGTAGAATTTGTTAAAGCTACAGCATATCTCATGTTCCAAGGTATGCTTCCAGACTGCTGTTTTTAGCACACTATATGTGTGAACGGCTTTGAGCCTGCTTGGTGTTATCACACTGAGCATCACAGATGTAGGTTAAATAAATGCCTAATGGGTAGGATGGAAATCTGTTGGCTTGGGTGGTGATATCACTGTGCTTTCGCCCTCCTGAAAGGGTGTACACTCTGTAGCACAAACTGAACTAAATGATTTTTGGGTGTGTTTAGCCCTCTGGCTTAATGTGGTGAGCTACCATAGTAGCTTGTCAGGTATCTTCTGGTTTTTGGGGGAGCCATATCTTTGGAATGATAACTTTGCAGAACATCACTAAGTCAGTAGACAGTGCCGTTGGCCTTAATGTATCTAAATAATCTACTGATATTTAAGCATTTCCTAAGTTTTCTGTGAACAGTTAGGTAGTCTGTGGTGAATGCTGTGTACATGTTTCTCCTGAAAATCGTGGTGCAGGTGCATGCTGAACTTGTGTAAGACTTGAAAATGTGATATGGTCAAAAGGTGTGACAGTAAGATGGTTTAACTGCCTCAAGGTTCTTAGAATGGGGATCTCTGCCATGCAGTGCTGTCACAATGACTGGGCTGATACCTTTTAAACAGAATTGGAGATAAGCTTAAGATACCATGAGTTAGGCAGAAAATCCAGGTAATCTTCCTGAAATTCCTTTCTTGGAAGGATTGAAACTGCCTTTCAGAAGTCAAGAACTCAAAGTGTGAATTTCCAGTTGCAGATACCTTTTGTAACAAACAACCTACCAGTGTTCTGTTACTCGGCAGTGGAAAATTTTCTTGAAAATCAAAGTTTAAAGCCATCTTTGACTTGATAACCTGTCAGTTCTGTAGATTGAATGCTGACCACACCTACTGATACAGCAACTGAATTAAGTACATGCAACTCGAGGTACTAGTAAAAAATACCTGAAGTCTCTGCTTTATTGCAGGGTAATTTAGCTTTTACATCTCGGTGTGAAACCTTTCAACACTGAAGCTGTGAATTTTCCAAGAGCTTGTGGTGAAGGTGGGGTGGGAAGGGAGATACTGAGTGGATGCACACAACCTTTTGTGCAGACTTCTAACTGGAAACACTGGATAAATTGTAGTTCTTTGAACACGTTTCACATTATACAGCAGCCATTCTGGAGTGTGTGGGTTTTAAACTAATGCAAGTCTGTGATTGAGCAGTTGTGTTGGTTAGGTAAATCACTGGTCATGAGCTTTTTTTCACATTTTTTTTCTTCTTGCAATCCAGTAGTGCTCACAAACAGTATTGGGTACTGCCTAAGGCCTCTGCAGTTTAGTCAGCAGACCGTAGTCTTAACCCCATCTTGAAAAGCACATGGTCTCTATTGCAGCACATGCCATTAACTGGTGAGTAGGCATTCTGTTTACAATGACATTTTATGAATGTCAGCTCATACTTCAGTGAACTGAAGACTGGTTCTCTGGCTAGGCTAATTTGGAAATGACAGTGGTGTAAACTAAGCTTTTACTGCACTAAAGGTGAGAAGTTTGCAAGCTATTTGCATTAACTTGGTTGAAATTTGCTACCTCATTTGGAAAAGTTGTTAATTCACATCTGCACTAATGCTTACATTTCTAGCACTGCAGGGAGGATCTGTTCTTTGTAACAGATGTATGAGAATGCATCAAGTGGGAACATACCTCAAGGCATGTATTACAATAAACTAATTTTTAAATTACCCTTTTTTCCTTTCTATGTTCCCGGTACCTGTGGATCGGCTCAATGGTGATTGTATCGACGAACCTTGACTACGGAACCTTCTAAAAATATATACTTAACACACATGGACATCAACTACATATAATGAACTGTTAATTCTGTTCCAATAGCGTCCTGAACGCTTTGGGCAGGGAGGTGCGGGGCCTGTGGGTGGCCAGGGTCCTAGAGGAATGGGGCCTGGAACACCAACAGGATATGGTAGAGGGAGAGAAGAATATGAAGGCCCAAACAAAAAGCCCCGATTTTAGATGTGACCTGTAGTTTCATTCCAATTTGTTTTTGTCTGTCTTGTTTAGACACCAACTTTTTAATTCTTGCATTTTAGTAAGAAAGCTACGTTTTTATGGATGTTAGAAACTTACTGACCTAATATTTGTAAGTGGTCTGTTTGGGCGAGTACAATTTAATTATGTAATGCAGTGTTTCAAAAAAATTTAGCTGGTTTTTTGATGTATAACGTCCCTAACTTGATGGCAGTGTACCTTGTGCCACTGAATTCCCAAAGTGTACCAACTTTTTTTTACTGTGCTTCAAATAAATAGAAAACTAAATGTAGTAACTCTTCTTGCCATTCGTGGTTAAACGAAGGAGACTGACTGCCACACCTTGAAACCCAGAGGCTCAAGCAGAGGTCAAACTAGACCAGGGTGTGGAGCTGTAGTGAAGAGTGGGATCTCCTCCCATAATGCCTCTAGCTAAAGATTGGGTCAAACAGTAGCCTAACTTTGCAGTAGGTGCAGATTTTTTGAGCGTTAATTGTGCTGCAATAAGGAAGCTAATGGAAACCTTGCAAGTGCTGCAACATACTGTAATTAAAGCTACACTGCAAGAAGTGTAGCGCAGCATGTAGTTAACTTCCTACAGATAATGAATGGGTGGTGGGATGGTAGCATTGACCACCTTGGCAGTTACTGCTTGGAATCTTTTAAAGACTTTAAGCAGAAGACTAGCAATGGTTATTTTAAAATAAATACATAGAATGAGTTGTATTGGCTGACTTCCTAACTAAAGGATTGTTAATGTGATATTTATATGCTCTTAAGCTGTCTGCGATTACAGGATCTGGCCTTGCTCCGTATTGTACACTTACCTGAAAACTGCTTTGCATCAAGTCCAGAAGTGTTACTTGAGTGATAAGGTTAACTTGCTTATGTCCTCATGCTAATTGAGTGGACTAATTCGCTTAGTTCAGAATACAATCATTTGTATTATGGACACTGCAGGAACTATTATATCATGTAGCTGGTGGGTGAATCCTAAAAACCTGTATGTAAAATACAGAAATTAGCTTGCTTGCATGATGGTTATCGCTCTTTTATTATTGATGTTTGGAGATAATGCATCAAAAGTAGTATCTGAATCTGGAGCTTAATAGCTATATTACACAGTATAAATAAACTCCCTTTAAGGTTCTTTTTGTAGAAGATTTGATGAATTTGTTAGCTTGCTGTGCATTTATTAAGACCCAGAAGAATTTTGAAGCATTCTGGACTCATTGATAAGGTAGTTGCTTTGCTTATTACTACATTGTACCAGATAAGCTGGGAACATGACTTCCCAGTGTAAAATACCTTGGTGTTAATGCAGGATACATCAACCTGCTTGGCACAAAGTAGGTAAACTTAGTCTGGCTGTACCTTCACAGATTCCCCAACCCCCAGGCATTCTGTGAGTAGTTTAACCTTCCAAAGATCTTTCCATTCCTTGTGCTAAGCATTGGCTAATTCTAAATTCTATGCTAAATTTTCTCTGTGGTTAAAACTTCAGTGTCAGATTGGCAGTATTTTAGAGTGCAGATTATTATCCCTTGTGAAGTCCTTGCTGTAAAAAATAGCATGTTGTGAAATGCTGATACCAGGTAACACTACTTGGAATATTAAGCTCATTAAATAGCGACTCAGCTTGTTTGGTGAATGCTTCTTATTTTCCCAGAAAAGTGTGGGGGTTGATAATATGCTGCAACAATTAATTGCTATTCAGGAAATTCCGAATTGGCAGTTCCTAAGTGGGACCAAGTATTTGGGAGTACTTGTATTGGACACTTAGTTTAAAAATCAGCAGTACCGATGCAATTTGCTTTATTGAAGTAGTGTTAAATAATGCATATGTTTTCTGGAGGGTGTTCGTGGGACACCCTGACAAGGTGAAGGTGTCTGAGATGGGGAATTCTGAACGTAAACATTAAATTAATTTTTTCAGTTTATTTTTCAGATTACATGTCATTCTTTATTAAAGAGATGCTGGTGCATATCCTAAAGTATGTTCTTCTGTAGTTCTGTAACTTGGAAGAGTGAAGGATGCTGATGTCCTTGTACCTTACAGAGATTGTCTTTTGGTACCCCTGTTTCGTATGTAAGCTGCTGTTGCTAGGTATTAAAAATAGCTGAGTTGAAAAACTATGATTAGTAAATATCTTGAAATATTTGGCAGTTTTCAAAACAACTGAAAGTTTGGTTAAATCTAGCTTTGTTGTAGCTGCATAAGCAGAATTTCTAAAACAAGTTCTGCTTTGAGTTGCATGTATTAAACAGGCATACAATTAATGAGCCAACTTCTTTTCAAGACCTTTTAAAGGTGGTGTTTTAAAAGCTTGAAAATCTGATAAAGTTGCTAAATGTGGGAGGTGAGAAAGTTATGTTCCTTTGATCTCTTCCTACGAGGTTTTGGACTTTTTTTTTTCATAAAACCAGATTTATATGATTGACTATTTAAAACCATTTAGAGAAGTGCTTCATTGGTCAGACCTGGTTTTGGATGGTCTAGATCACATAACATTTTTGTACTGGATGTGGATGACATTTGCTGTTGCAATTTAGCTTGCTTGATCAAAATTGAGCCCATTTTGACTCTTAAGATCTCTAAAAACTGCTACTTGTAGAAACTGGTATCGTTATACACGTATCTTCACACTTTCTCAGAAATGAACACAGAATAATCTTCTGGTGTAGACACATTACACTAATCATTTATACAGCTAATGAGAACTGAAACTGCTTTTGAGATTTTGTGGTATATTTTTGTGGTAGAAAAATTCTTGGCTTCTCCTTGGCAACCACTTACTGTGGCAGCAAGTTTTTGCTGGAGTTTTGAGACTGCAATTTACACTTAAAACTAGTGGCCTGCTACATAACTGCACTTAGCCAGCATTTCTGCAGTTCATAACTGTGAGGAACGTAGTACCACAAATGGCAATGGACATTAGGACCCGGATGTAGTATTCCTGCTTGCTCCAAGATTCTCATTGCCGACTGCGTACAGGTAGGTAACAAGCAATATAATCTAACTTGGTGACTTTCTATGTAATCTTATACTGTGGGTATTCTGACATCACACTTCTGACTGTGGAATTACAGTGCAGCACTCTCCATACCTGTATGTTAAGCTTGCATCAAAGCTGCGTGGTTTTCGGTTTTAAGCTTTGTTTTGTTCAGAGTCAATAAGCAACTTACTGTGATTCTTAGATAAGTATTTTCAGACCCGATTCCTTTGTACATGTGACTCGGCTTGTGTGGATTTTTCCTAGTTCTGATGTAATGAAGATACTCTCAGATGAGCTCTGGGGGGAAGAGGGAATGTGATCTTAAAACTCATTTTACTAGTCAACTAAGTGCTCTCAGTGCCTAGAAAAGGACTTTGGAAACTTTCTGCAGTGACAAGATGGCCCATCTGCAGCACATCCCTTTGTAGTCTTGGCTCAGCAGGACCTGTGGTAGCTGCTCTAGCCTTGTATGCACTGCGGGATAGTCACAGCTTGCTGATTCAGTCAGCTTGGAGACTTGAAACATTTTTGAGGGCATACAAAGAAATGCTTGAATGAATATCCCCATGAGTAGTTTTCTAGAGCCTATTGCACACTTCATTTGTCTCTGTTTTAATCTTTGATTGACAAGCATAATACATTCTTCTGCCTTTAATTGACAGTGATGAGATTCTGTATTTCTGCCTCATAGAGTCATCTTGGGTAGTGTAATGCTCAGCTTCATTTTTCATCAGTCTTGGGGATGTAATTCTAAACTCTTCATCAGTAGAAATACTGAACGTAGTGTTCCAGGATTAATGTGCTTACATTTCCAGACATGCTGATCTCCAGCTCTTTTGCATTAGCTCTTGAACCTGAATTTCAAGGTCCCTTGTTTCAGCACATGATCTGGCTCTAGTCTGATGTTCACTATATTTCAGAGATGTTGTAACGTGTTTTCCTGCTTGTTCTGCAAAGTTCTGCTTTGCATATTTGTTTCTGGTATTATTGTCACATTTGGACCCTTCTGTGGTATCTTTCAGGCAAGACTTGTGCTGGTGAGCAGGGGATCTGCTGGACAGCCTTGCCCTCTGCTGTAGCTCTCTCTTCACGTTCCATTGAAAGCTTGAAGTAGCAGCTGCACCTTATGATCATAACAGGTCTTTGGTTACACCACAGTGAGTGTAGCTGAATTTTAGCTAGTCAAGCGGTGACACCACTTGTCACAAAGTCAGTTGGGCTTTTTGTGATGGTTTAGTCTTAACCTGTGACTAGAATTCGGTAGCAAAACTGATGGCAGTATGTGTGCTGTCATGTAGCAAAACTGAATTGTTAATCTTTAAACCAGTGCTCAGATCTGACTAGTTTTTTTCCAGTGTGCCCTGGATACTTGACTTGCAGGAATGTCGTGGAGGGGTTATTGGCCCATCTGCCTCATTCTGTGTACCTGAACTAGCAGGTTTTTGACACTCTTGGAGCAAGCAATTTGTCGCTGAACCATGGGTCTCATACCAGCTCTGACTGTCTGCAGTAATGAAACTTGGTGTGGTAGCTAACTTAAAAGCAAATAGTCATGTCTGCTCTAAGTCAGTCTGTAACAAGTGGGTACAAGAAATGACATTGAAGTGCTTGCATTGTGTTTCATCTTGGTTTTATCTGTGTGTAAAATACACTTTTTCTCGAAAGCTCATTGAAGCTCAGAAGTGTGGTGTCAGAATACATCAGCGTACCTGCTAGGCCCTCAGGTCCAGATACTGGTGCTGTCAGGAGAGAGCACAGTGTGTATGGGGGCTTCACTGTAACATTAAGCATACAAAGTTGATTTGCTTGCAGTTCTCCCTATAGCTAAACACTGAGGCCTGTGAGTAGCTTTAGGACTTGAGCAGTAATGGGGTTGCATGTCTCTGTTAATCATTGCCAGCTGCAGTGACATGATCAGGAAGGCCAGTGTATTGTTCCATTATGTTAAATGAGGCTAAGCATGTTGGAAAGGAGGCATAAAAAGTATGCTGTTCTGGGTAATTACTTGGCTTCTTCCACTACTAGCAAGTTTGGCATCAGCTAATTAGCTTCAGATTTTTTTTTTCTCTCCATACCAGCTAGTGGGGCTGTTAAATAGCTGCTTACTGGAAAAGGAGAAAAAGGGAGGATTGGCCTTCTCCCAGCTCTGTCATTGCTGCTAGGTAATGATTGACACGTTAGGACTTGGCTGTGCAATCCCGCAGTGGTCTGTGAACACCCCATCTCTATAAATGTTGCTTCTGAACACCAGTACTGAAGAGCTAACTGGGGGAGGGTTGGGGGAGGAGTGTGGCTATAAGTGAATCTGGAGTGTTAAAAGGATGCACAAAGATATAGTATCCCTTATGCATGGTGTTTGTTGCTTAGAAAACAAAATGTGCATACTGCTGCTCCTGAGGGCCATGATAAAACTCAGGTGGTGGGTTTCAGACTAATCTGGAACTTCTCCCTGCCTGGTCAGATCACACTGTGCCTGTGGTGTGATTTGCCTCCCCACTATAGAGATGTGCACAGAACCTTGTACTTACATCCCTTGCAGTTTGCCCTCAACTTAGAGTAAAAAGGCAGGGGGGGAAGGTCTCAGAAGGGAAGAATCTGTTGCTGAGAAAAAAAGTAGTAAAGTGACAGTGCTAACCTTGAGTGTCTTCCTTTGGCTTCTGAAGCACTTCTAGGACTACTGAACCTGAGGGCTAGGGGTCCAGGGACACTGCACTCCTTCATGAAGGGGAAGAAAGAGGGCATAACTATAGGAGAAAACTAGGGTAAAATAGTTTAAGTAGCTTGACAAATTTGCTAATGCCTTCACATAAGGGATAGTATACCTCTGGCTGCAATCAAACTTCTTGTGCTCAGACTGGTGATTTACGGTTTGTGCTCAGACAAGGTGCAGTTTCTCAGTCAACTACCTGCATAATCCTTCATCTCTTTACAAGTGTTTAGGCTAGCCTATTTTTGCCCCTTATTCTCCCACTTAATGTTTTGGAATATTTTGTAAATTCCCCCCTCATAACTAATCAGTCCATGTATCTTAAAACCTTATTTTTAAGTTAGCTTTGAAATGGTCATAATTTTCTGTGTATTGCTCTAATAACTTGGCTTGTTATCCTTTAGGTGAAGATGAAGGCTGAATGAAACTGGAGTGCTCATCCATGGAAGGTAAGCATCACTTCTAGTCTTGTTCTGAAGGGGTGAAATAAGGATTCTGGGCACTTGATGTTTAGTCCCTGAGTGAACTGGAAAATACTGACAAATCTGTACCAGTGAATACTTGGAATGTGTAGGGTACAACTTGGTACTACTATGAAACTGGGGTATTAAGCACCCAGACTCCATTTGGGCTTGATTCCTTGACAGTATTGGTTAAAAATCTCTTTGTAGACCTGGGTTTGTAGGAAAGATTTCATTGTAGTTATAACTTCTGAATATGTTTCCAGTTCAGGAGCTGAGCATGAGCACATCCAGCATGATGCCCAGTGATATCTGGATGGACCAAGATACCAAGCGAACAAGTAAGTAGGGGGTGTCCTTGTGCTGCAGTAAGAGCTCAGTAGCCCATCTCCCTGTGATGCATTGTGTCATTCCTGCCTGAAGTTTGCCCTTGGTTAATCTCAATTTTATATAGAACTTTTGAACCTTTTTTTCTGTAGAGCCAAGATACAACCATTGTTTGAAGCTTTTCAGCCCTGCAGCATCAAATAAATTCTGCCCTCTGAATGCTCTAGGTGGTCAAAAGAGAAATAACCATTTCTGCATTCAGGCTTTGGTGAAAGGGGGTGGGTGATTGTCAGCAAGGAACAGGGAGAACAATAGAGCAGCTGCTTCTCAAGTGTTATCTAAAATTGTTAAAAAGCTACTTTTCTGAAATATTTTCATGAACGTTGAACTGCCAAAATCACCTGGAAGATGAATTAGCAAATAGGAGAGCACAAGTAGATAGTGATTTAGGGAAGTAACTTAACTTGCAGAGCTGGGATTAATGACATTTTCCCTCTAATTTACCACTAAAATTACAAGGGGGAACTTCAGATATTTAAAATGTGTGAGGAGGAACATACGAAGTACCTTCAGGAGTGATGGGTGAGTAACAGCTTAGATGTGCTACAACTGGCCCTGTGAGATGTGAAACCATTGGGATTCCATGGGTGAACTCCCATAGAATTGTGTGTGACGTGTCCCCACTGCTCTTGTTTCTAGGGTAGTAAACCACAAAGTCCTTTCGGATCTGTGAGACTTATGAAGTAGATGAAAATGGGAATGTTGTTCATTTAATCTCAAGCTTGACATAAAAACTTAATGATCCTAGAGTACATTTGACAGGGACATGGCTGTTGTGATGCACTGGGTCCCTTTCCATGTCACTATATGATTTTTGCTGGCATTTTTAATGTTCTTTCTAACTCTGTGCTTTGCACTTGCAGAAGAAGATGAAGTCAATGCAGTGAAGAGGAGCCAGGAGCATACAATTAAAAAAAATAAAATATTTATTTTTTTCTATAAATGACTTCTGTTTTACTCTAGAGTATATGCAATGAGTGAGCAATATGTTCAGCTTAGTGTGGTAGGGATGATTGAGAAACAGTGCCACAAGGGTGGCTGTTGAAGAGCACATGGAATGTGCTTGGGGTGCTGGAGTGAAGGGCTTGGGTGGTGTGTCCTGCTGTCAACTGTGACAGGCACACGGGGGAGACTCACTTGTGGTCACAATTCTTTGGAAGCCAGAGAAGTGTTGGATTTTAGCTCTTGCAGCACAAATGACCATGGTTCATGTTGCTTTATTTGATACTTCAGACAGCTGTGCTGTGCACATAGTTCATGCTGTCATTTATTAAATACTGTCCTTCATTTAGATACCAGCTGAAGTGTTAAAACAGCAGCAGGGTCTGTTTGTGCAGAACCCTCTTAACAGGGGTTTCCACCACAGTGGCATGAAGAGGCTTGGAGAGGGGAGCAGTGGGGTGCAGGGTGCTCCCCAGCACCCCAGGGGTTCATGGCAGGGAAGGCTGGTGCTGCAGTGGATGCTGCTCACTGTTGCTCTGCACTTTCTCCTACAATCAAGCAGTCGGGCACAGGATAAATCAAGGTGTTTCACTCTTGATTTCATGCTATTGTTGACATCCAGAAAAGGCTTCAGCAAGAAGTTTTGTGGCTCCTCAATAGCTGTGCTGCAGGGGGTGGCTTTTAGTGCCTTTGTCTCCAGTCACTGCAGGCTTCCACAGCCTTCCCCCATCCCCAAATTGTCATTTTTTCAGTGAATTGTCCTGATTTCCACTGTTTAAGCACTGGCTGTTTCCTCTCTGAAGCTTTGCAGCCTGAATGTGGTTCCAGCCTTTCATGTGCTGAACCTCTGTAACAAACTTGTTTTGCTTTCAGGAGTGAAATGGGATGTTTTGGAGTGTGGGTTGTTCTCATCACCTGGTAAATGACTGGTCCGAGCAGGTTTTACTCTGATAGGTTATTGTCCTCTTGGTGGTAAAGCTGATCACCTGCTTCTGCCAAATGTATCATTAATTAAATTGCCTCCTGTAATTAAAATAAAACAGGCTGAGGGCAGGGAGGTCCCATGTGCAAGAGTCCCATCCCAGGAACGCAGCTTTGTTCATCTGCCCTCATCTCCTGCCATGAGGGGCTTTTCCAAGCCCCTGGTGCTGTGCTGGGGGTGGTGGGAGGCAGGGGCAGTGTGACCCCCGGGGACAAGTCAGCAGTGCTGGGGCAGCCCCTGCGCTGGGCCTGGCCCTCTGGGAAAGGCAAACGCACTGGGAAAGGTTTTGCAGTGTTTGCACAAAAAAAAACCCCAACCTCTGTCCTGGCCACGTGCGGGCCCTGCCCTGTGGCAGGGACAACGCGCGGCTGCTGCAGAGAGGAGAGAGGGATCTTTCTGAGCTGAGGGATCTCGGCGGGCAGGACTCAGCCTGGCTCTTGTGAGCAGCAAACCTGGGAGCTGCGACCCGGCGCTGTGGGTGTGGAGCTGCTGCAATCTGGTGGTCGGGATTTGCTCTTTTTTTAGAAATCTTTTTCCCCAGGGGGTTTCTTAGGACAAAGAAGGGCTGGATCCTGTTTTTATCGTCCCTCGGTGTGTAAGCCACGGCAGGAAGAAGCTCCAAATCCCTGCGAGCTGCTCCTCGGCTGCGCTCGAGCCGAGGGATGATTTTCATCTGCCCTCATCTCCTGCCATGAGGGGCTTTTCCAAGCCCCTGGTGCTGTGCTGGGAGGCAGGGGCAGTGTGACCCCCGGGGACAAGTCAGCAGTGCTGGGGCAGCCCCTGCGCTGGGCCTGGCCCTCTGGGAAAGGCAAACGCACTGGGAAAGGTTTTGCAGTGTTTGCACAAAAAAAAAACCCCAACCTCTGTCCTGGCCACGTGCGGGCCCTGCCCTGTGGCAGGGACAACGCGCGGCTGCTGCAGAGAGGAGAGAGGGATCTTTCTGAGCTGAGGGATCTCGGCGGGCAGGACTCAGCCTGGCTCTTGTGAGCAGCAAACCTGGGAGCTGCGACCCGGCGCTGTGGGTGTGGAGCTGCTGCAATCTGGTGGTCGGGATTTGCTCTTTTTTTAGAAATCTTTTTCCCCAGGGGGTTTCTTAGGACAAAGAAGGGCTGGATCCTGTTTTTATCGTCCCTCGGTGTGTAAGCCACGGCAGGAAGAAGCTCCAAATCCCTGCGAGCTGCTCCTCGGCTGCGCTCGAGCCGAGGGATGATTTTCTGCTGCCAGGAGTAAAAATAGCTCTGCCCTCCGGGAAGCAGGGACCGTGCCTGCTGGACGCGTTCCTGTGGGATGTGCTCTGGGTCATCCTGCTCTGGCAGGGGGGGTTGGACTGGACGATCTTTCCAGGTCCCTTCCAACCCTTGGGGTTCTGTGATCCTGTGCTCCAGGCTGCGCCTCTTGCGCTGTCTGGTGCTTCTGGAGAAATGGGTCCTGCTCTTTCAAGACTTGCTGGCGTTAAACAAACGTTTCCACTTAAATCACAGTAACGTCACTGCCCCGCAGCTTTCCTGGGCTCTGGCTCTTGTGGATCCTTCCCTGGAGCCCGGGTGCGGGTTGTGACGCGGGCCCGGGAGGACTCAGCCCCTTTCCTCACCCAAACCGGGCCCTGGTGCCAGAAGGAAACCCTGGAGCAGCCGCCGCCTGCACAGCCAGCCCTGCCCGACCCCAGTGCTGCTGACCCCGCCC